TGGCAACAGTAGTGAGGTTGGCCCGGGATTGGGCAGTGTTTCATTCTGCTGTGCATAAGGTTGCTATGAGTTGATACTGACTTGATGACACCTAACAACAACAACAACAATGACTACATTAATACTGCCATATTAGCATAACAAAGAAAACCCATTCCCAAATGGGATTATAGTTACAACCATGATATTGTTGTGTGCCCTAGAGTAAGTTCTGACTCATGGTGACCCTGTGTAGGGTTTCTAAGAGCAGCTGGTGAGTCTGAACTGCCTACCTTGCAGTTTGCAGTCTGGTGCTTATCTTACAGTGCCATACCAGGGGATAAGCTGACCCCATCTCTCTGCCCAAGCCCTCAGTGGACTGGAGTCCCCAGCTATGCCCAGGCTTCCTGGGTTCCTCCCCGTGGAGAGCCATACTCTGAGATGTTGCTGGACCTAAGCCTCAACCTTCACCTGCCCACCTAGGGACAAGAAAACAGTCAAAGCCGCCGTCCACAGCAGAGCGTGCGACTCCCCCACCTTGGGCACAGAGCTGGTCTTGCCCTGCTGCAGCCTAGCCTGAGGGCTTGTGCTACCTTGGGAAGGAGGGTGGGAGGGCAGCAGTTCAAGGGCTGTTGGGTCTGTGTCCTACACTTCCCCAGGATCCCATGAAGGTGCCAGCATGTGAGCGAGAAACTCCTATCTGTTAAGACTTTATGTAAAAAGAATGTTGTAACAACAAAAGTCCAGTTTGGTAATCTTTTTTTTTTTCTCCCACTGACTTTTCTGTAATCACAATGAAATTTTGTTTTTTATTTACCAAAAACCCCCCATGGTCTAGGGGTTAGGATTTGCAGCATGTATTTTGGGGAAAACAATCCAATCCATAACACAATCTAAGAAAAAGGGACTGAGCACTGGCCTTTTGCTTATTGATTTTCTTTTGCTTGTTCTTAAAGCCCGAAATCTAGGGCCCAAATCAGGGCTTCCGACCTGGCCTTGAGCAAGTCACTTACCTCAACGTGACCTTCCTTTGCTATGAAGTAGGCTAACAATTCCAGCATGAACTGAGCCCACAGGGCCATCGGGAAGAGTTAGAATACAATCTCTATGCAGGTGGTACCAGATGTAAGGGGTATATACAAACAAACGCTGAAGTTAGTTTTTGTGTTGCTGTGAGGAATGCAGGACAAGAATGGCTACAGTGAGCATCAACAGTCTTTTGTTTATAGCCCTTGCCAGAGAACTGAAGGTTTTGATTTAAAATGGTGAATAATGAGTCAGGTTTCTTCCCTCAGGGCTTGAAGAAGACATGTGTGATCATGGACCAGGAACGCCCACGTTCGGATCTCAGCATAAACAGCAGAAATGAGCTTCGCAAGGTTTTGCATCTTGAATTTCTCTACAAGGAGAACAAGGTACGGGGCTTTTGAGGTACTGCGTGGTTGATGTCAGAACACTCATGGGTCCTGCCCCCTCTGCCTGTCAGAGACCACGTGTGGCAAGAGGTTAGGAAACTTGTGGCTTGCCACGTGTGCGGTCAGAAACAGACCAAGCCACGTGCGGACCCCTCCCAAGTGGGGGCTGGTTTTCTAGCCTGAGTCAGCCTGATGCTGCCCCTTAGCGTAGTGTGGGCATGTGTGTGTACGCATGAGTGTGTGTGTGCGGTTGTTAGGATCACTTTAGCTGTTGACTCTGCTCAGCTACTGACAGTTATTCCCTGTGCTCCCTCCTACCCCCTTGAGGCTATTTTTAGTAAGACTGTGCTTAAGAAAATAGTATTCAGTTCTACTAAAATTTTCCATTCCCTGCCTGGGTAAGATTTTCCTTCTGCAGTTCTGAGTCATGCCTTATTCTCAAGTCTACTGTGGCATATCATTCAACTAACCCCAGTGTGTCGGAGTTGAGAGAGAAAATGGGATGGTGCATCCTGGGTGGGGGGCTCCCTGATCCCCCAAACTCTATCCCCTACTTCCTTACAGGTTTTCACGGCATTCTATAGTTTCCTTCGTGGTACTTACCACATTTGTAATAAAACAGTTGTGTGATTCTTTCATCAGTCTCTGCCTTCCCAAATACCTGACACAGGAATGCACGGATGTGTCTGTTCTGCTCATTACTGTATTTTTACCCTGGTGGCACAGTGGTGAACCACAAGGTTGGTGGTTCAAACCCACTCCCCACTCCATGTGAGAAAGATCATTAAGCTGTCTGCTTCTATGAATCCTGGTGGCACAGTGGTCAAATGCTCAGTGATAACTGGTAGGTCAGCAATTTGAACCCACGAGATGCTTCTCAGGAGAAAGATGTGGTCGTTTGCTTATGTAAAGAATTACAACCTTTTTTTTAAAATAAAGAAAACAAGTGTAATTTGCTACAATTTGATAAACTTGACCTATACTTATGGATGGAGTAGCTTAAAATACCAACCAAGAGGGAAGGAATCTATACAGCAAGGATCATTCTCATCCTCTGTGTATACAGGGTTGAGAGGGATGGGCACCTTAGACACAGGCTACCTAAAATGGGGGCACTATAAAGGCATGGAGTGACTGGCTTACAAGTTTTCAAGAGGGAGTTTAGTTTCAGAAGGTGCAGTGGAAGGTAGACTCTCCACTGAGTGGTTTCCAACCTGTCTAGACGTGGCTGGTGAAAGGAGATGGGGATAAGACTCTTATGGTTCAATAGTGAATAATTGTTATCATGACTAATTGCAATTGTTGCAAATGTAAAGATAGAGGTTTTGTAGCAAAAAGGGGGAACTGGTTGATCTTGCAGTCCAGAAGCAGAGGACCCTGGGACTATCAAGGGAGAAGAGTGGGAGTGGAGTGTGGGACCCTACTCCGAGAAGCGGCGATGCCAGAGATGGAGGCAGAGATGATGATGTGGAGAGATGGAGCGGCTGGGGACTGTAGACTTATGGAGGGAAAGGGACTGTGTGCTGGGGGGTGGAGGGTCGCAGGTTTGCAGGGTATGCCCTTTGGGTGTTTGAATAATTACATATTCCTGAGTGTTTTGGTGTACATCCAAAAATCCACAGGGAATAGAAGCAAATGCCGTTGAATGATGGAGGGGATTGTAATCATTGCAATGAAATGAAATACGATAGGATGAGTGTAAAGCTAATGTTCTCCCATGTAAACTCAATTCACAATAAAACTTAAAAAAAGAGATTACAGCCTTGGCAATCCTGTCAGTCAGTGCTACTTTTTCCTGTAGTATTACTCTGAGTCAGAATGGACTCAATGGTTTGTTTGTTTTTCTCCTGTAGAGATTTATAGTCTCAGAAGCCCTATATAGGGTTGCTATGAGTCAGAATTGATGGCAGCGCGTTTGTTTTTTTCATACGTAACATCTTTATCATAATAGTTAACAGACATTGTGAAAAAAAATGAATGATGAATGCATATATGAATGAATGAAGCTATACATCTAACTTAATTGCGCTTTCTGTTACGAAGAAAAATCCTCTAATTAGGTTTAAGAATGGACTCTCTAGCAGACTTTACCCTGTGGTTGGACATAGTGTCCAAGTTGGAAAGAACCTGATGATGTAGTTCATTATTTATCACAATGTTATTTTTAAAAATAAACAACCAAATGTTATCTCACGCAGAAGTCCAGTATGCAAAACAAAGCAGGGCAGCCACCCCAGGGAAGGCAGGGACTACGGGCTCTTGTCTTGGTTTCCCGGGGCAGACCCTCTGTGCCCAGCCAGAATTGTTAGACCATTACTGGTCTAGTGGGACCCCCACCCCAGGGAGCTGTAAGGCAGAGAAAAATGGCTCAGCTAAGACCCTACAGTCAGTTACTGGGAAGGGATGAGTGTAGAACTCAGGGCTTCCGCTTTCCAATCTTATCATAACCACGGCCATCAAACTGATGTTTTTAATTGTAACTTTGTTCTCAAGTGGAATCTTGGCCGATTTTGGTTGGTATGGGAACACTCCCAGCCTCCCAAGGCTGCTTCTGAGATATCTGGAGAGACCTCAGAGCACCTTGAAAACCAGCTTAATATTTAGGCAGGAAGGAATTAGGTCACATTTCCCTCCATAAAGTAAAGGATGGAATCTCAGGCACACCCATAAATCTTAACTACCTAGTATCCAACTAGTAGGAGCATTGTGGTTACTAGACTCCTTTGTTCTCCCCTTTGAGGAGAAAGGGCAACGGCGGTCCAACAGAGTAAAGCCATCAAACAGCTAACCTTCATCCTCTGGGCCCTGGAGTGACACTCAGGCACATCTCCTGCTGATGCTCCGTGAAACCCATTGCTGTCAAGTCTGCTCTGACTCATGAAGACCCCAAAGGGTTTTTTATGGCTGTTTTTTGGGAGCAGTAGATTTCCAGGTCTTTCTTATGAGACCCCTCTGGGGGGGACTCGAACTTCCAACCTTTCCATTAGTTTTAACTGAACGTTTTAACCATTTGCATTTTCCAGAGACTCCATGCTCAGCTGGAATCCTTTTCGGAAGAGGACCGCTGAAGCTTAGTAATCCTCCACCTGCTATTTAAGTTAGGAGTGTAGACTACATTTTAGAAAGATTATCAACAGAGAATGAAACAGTTAGCCAGAAAATTCAGCTACCCATTCTGGTACAATGGGGTTCTTATGTAATGCACCTTTACCTAATTTCCCAGAGTGTCTTAGTCATTCCAGTTATTTTTGTGTCTGCACCCTATCATGCTCTCCTTAAGGTAACTATTAGCTCAAGATACCTAGGATGTTTTCATTAGGTTTTGATTGGTGTTGCCGTTGTTAAGAGGTGTTGAGTCTGTTCCGACCCATAGCGACCCTGTATAAGGGTTTCTAAGGAGTAGCTGGTGGATTTGAACCTCCAACCTTGTGATTAGCAGTTCAGGACTTATCCTGCACCACCACACCAGAACCCCAGGTTTTGATAAGTGCCTTAATTATTGGATTTACCCACCTCACTGCCATAGAGTCAGTTTATATTGATAGCAACGCTATATAGGGTTTCTGTGACTATAAATCTTTACGGGAGCAGACAGCATCAACCTTCTCCCTAGGAATGACTGGCTGGTGGGTTTGAACCGCTGACCTTGCAGTTTGCAGCCCAATGCCTAACCTACAGCACCACCAGGTGTCCTTAATCATTTCATTTACATAGTAATTAGCTATTACTCAATGAATTGGGGTCTATATTTTACAGAAAATGTATTTATTAGTCTAGCTGTTGTTGCATAATAATTTCTATATTCACCAGCACAAAGTTAGTATGACTTCAGAAAAACCCTACAATTTATTGCTAATATTTCCAGTACTTTGTTTTCCCCTGTGTAGTGGTTGGTTACGAGTTGGGACGCTAACTAACCTCAAGGTCAGCAGTTTGAAACTACCAGCCGTTCCGCGGGACAAAGATGATTCTTTCTGCTCCCGTAGAGATTTACAGCCTCAGAAACCCTATACAGGGTCACTATGAGTCAGAACTGACTCCATGGCACATCACCACCACCATCATCATAGATGATAATAAGGAGTCCTGGTAGCATAGTGGGTTATGTGTTGGGTTGCTAACCCCAAGGTCAGCAGTTTGAATCCATTAGCTGCTTTCTGCTCCTGTAAAGATTTACAGCCTCTCCACAGGGGGGCTATGAGTTGGAACTGACTTGACAAAACACAGCAGCACTATAGATGAAAATAGGAGCCCTGCTGGTACTGTAAGATAAGCCCTGCACTGCTAACCACAAGGTCGGAGGTTCAAACCCACCAGCCACTCTGTGGGAGAAAGAGGAGACTTTCTGCTCCCATAAAGGTTGACAGCCACAGGACCCATATGCAGGGGGGCTCTGTGAGTCAGAATCGACTTGAAGGCAGTGGGTGGGTTTATAGATGAAAATGGTAAGCTAAAGTTAAGGTTTGAAAAATTAAGGTATCTAATTGTGTCTCTTTGACTTAAAAATTATGCAATCCCCACTTTCATAATATTAGAATTGAAAATCAGCTGACTGGGTGCAGTTAGGCTGGAAATCTTGGTGACACAGGCATGAGATGGATTGGGTGCGGGCTGTTATCATCCAGTTTTGAATGGTTTGGGTTTAAAATGGAACTATTTTTTGTTTTAAAACGTGAAGAATTTCCTAGCAGACAAAACAATTTAGGCAAATCAGAAAGTAGGATATTTCCACCCTATTACTGCTAAGTAGTCCTGGAAAATGAAATGCCCGCCTTCGCCTTTGGATGGTGCACCTTCATCACTGAGGTTACTTTTGTGACTCTACAGTGTGGTTCTGGTAGGGGTGCTGGTGTGCTGTGAAGTCGGTTCTGACTCTTTGCGACCCTGCATAGGGTTTCCGAGGCTGTAAATCTTTATGGAAGCAGAAAGCCTCACTTTCTCCTGCAAGCAAGTGGTAGTTTTGAACTGCTGATCAAGAGATTAGCAGTCTGACTCATAACCACTACGTTGCCAGAACTCCTTCTACAATGGGTATCAAAAATAAATGGTCGGTGTTCAACCATTTTAAGAGATAGCATATGATCAAGAGCCAGTGATCCTGAAGGAAGAAGTCCAAGGTGCGCTCAAGGCATTGGCAAAGAACAGGTTGTGGGAATTGATGGAATAAAAATGGAAATCTTTCCACAAACTGATGGGCACTGGAGATACTTATGCATACCAATAAATTTGGAAAAGGCAGCCACTTAGACAGCTGATTGGAAGAGATCCGTATTTGTGCCCATTCCAAAGAGAGGTGAGAAAGATGAGGCTTTCTGCTCCCATAATGATCAACAACCTGGGAAACCCAGTACAAGGTCACTATGAGTCGGGACTGTCTCCATGTCACACTGCCACCACCACTATCATGTCTGTGCTGGTGGAGGCAACAGTCAAGAAATCAAATGATGTATTGCACTGGACAAATGCTGCAAAAGACTCTGTAAGGTGTCACAGGTGTCACTGAAGACCAAGGTATGCCTGACTCAAGTCGTGGTATTTTCAGTCACCTCAACTGGACAATGAAAAACGAAGACTGAAGAAGAAGTGTACCTATGAATTACGGTGTTGGAGAAGAATATCGACTATACCATGGACTGCCAGAAAGAGCAAACAGATCTGTGTCTTGGAAGAAGTCCAGCCAGAATGTGCCTCAGAATCAGGGATGTGAGACTTTTTCTCACACACTTTGGACATGTTACCCAAAGGGACTCGTCGTTGGAGAAAATGACATCCTGCTTAGTAAAGCAGAGGGTCACTGAAAAAGAGGAAGACCCTCGGAGAGATGGCTTGACATAATGACTTCAACAGTGGGCTCTAACAGCAGTGATGACAAGGGTGGCACAGGACCACGCAGCAGTGTGATCTGTTGTCCATAGGGTCACTATGAGTCAGAACCAACTTGTCAGCACCTAACAACAATGGCTTTGATTATTATAAGCAAAATGACATGAAAAGTATAGTGTATAATCCCTGCTACTCAGGGCTGGGTCCAAAGTGTCTCTTACTGAAAGGAAAACCAAGAAAGTTGAAATGAATTATTTATTTCTATTTTATACAAATACCAGCCCCGTCAAGCCCCAACTCTCTTTATTGTAAGCTTCTCTTAAATTTAGAGAAAATAGTTTTGATATGTTTGTTTTGTTTTTTACGTCTCAATGTAAAGAAAACAAAAAATCCTCACCACTGGGCTAGTAAACAACATTCTGATCAGTGGAGAAAAGATTGAAGTTGTCAAGGACTTCATTCTTCTTGGATCAACTATCAACACTCATGGAAGCAGCAGTCAAGAAATCAAACGACGTATTGCATTAGGCAAATCTGCTGCACAAGACCTTTTTAAAGTGTTGAAGAGCAAAGATGTCAGCTTGAGGACTAAGGTGCACCTGACCCAAGCCATGGTATTTTCAATAACCTCATATGCATGTGAAAGCTGGAAGACTGTAGAAGAATTGATGCCTTTGAATTATGGTGTTGGAGGAGAATATTGAAAGTGCCATGGGCTGCCAAAAGAACCAACAGATCCATTTTGGAAGAAGTGCAGCCAGGGTGCCCCTTAGAAGCCAAGATGGCCAAACTTCATCTCTCATACTTTGGACATATTGTCAGGAGGGACCAGTCACTGGAGAAGGATATCATATTTGGTAAGGAGGAGGGTCAGAGAATAAGAGAAAGACCCCCAACGAGATGGATTGGCAGCATCAGTGGACTCAAGCGTGACAACAGTAATGAGGTTGGCCCAGGATCGGGCAGTGTTTCGTTCTGCTGTGCATAAGGTTGCTATGAGTTGGTATTGACTCAATGGCACCTAACAACAAGTGTGAAAAAAATAAAACTATTCCCTTATTGACAGAAAAAATCTGCAGAATTTCTTCATGGCTCCTTTGGTGTGGTAACCTTCATCCCAGAGTTCTGCAGTGTAAATCAGGGGGTTACATTGGGGGCAGATGTTGATGAGCCCTGCACATGCCCTCTGCGCTAGGCTCTGTGGTGGGCACTGGGCCACCCTGATCACAAACCCATTCAACACTCCACGTCCGGCTTCAGATTAGCAGGGCCTGGGTGTCCCAGAAAAGAGACATGGGGGTTGATGCAGTCACATGGTATGGATCCCTGAAGTTAGTACTTACAGAGCTGTATCTAAGCTGCAACTCAGAGGCATTTAAAAATAAACCAGGACCCCCTGCCCGTCTCTGAGATTCTAGCTTAGTAGGTCTCGGTGGGGCCTGGGTAATCTATATTTAAAGACAAATTCCAAAGGTCAGAGTTGGGGAATATTGATATCATTTGTTTCCAGAACCTATTGTAGAACTATTAACTTTTTTCTTTAAGACTGGGATGTAAATGGAACAACCCTGACAAGTCTCTCTGCGCTCCTCAGAATTGCCTTCTGTGTCTGTGGTCTCGGTTGCCCTAACATCCAGTGTTAAATGCAGAGGCCACAAACCAAGAAAAATCCAGGCTCCCAATGCTAGGTACTTCAAGAGTCAGTGGTCTTCTTGGGACTCCTGAGCCCATAGACAGGGACATAGTCACGGAGGACTAGAGCAGAGAGTGAAGCATCCAGCTGATGTGAAGTGAGGGGAGATGCACAAAGTTGCCCAAACTTGCAGATAGTACCCATCTGACATAGCTTCAATGGCTGGATGATCAGAACTTGACTAGAGGAAGAAAGAAGAGGGCAAAAAGCATAATCTGCTACAATTTGATGAACTTGACCTATACTTATGAATGTAGAAGCTCAAAACAGGGAATGAATCTTTACAGCAAGGATCATTCCCAATCCCTCTGTACACAGGGTTGACAGGGATGGGCAACTTAGACATTGGCTACCCAAAATGGGAGGGAGGGGTAACAAAGGCGTGAAGTGACTGGCTTACAAGTTTTCAAGAGGGAGCTTAGTTTCAGAGGGTGCGGGGGAAGGTAGAGTCTCCACTGAGTGGTTTCCAACCTGTCTAGATGGGACTGGTGAAAGGAGATGGGGATAAGACTCTTGTGGTTCAATAGTGAATAATTGCTATCAGGACTAATTGTGAATGTTGCCAATGTAAAGGTAGAAGTTTTGTAACAAAAGGAGGGGAGTGGTTGATTTTGCAGTCCAGGAGTGGAGGACCCTGGGGACCATCAAGGGAGAAGAGTGGAGTGTGGGACTCTACCCAGAGAAGCAGCGATGCCAGAGATGGAGGCAGAGATGATGATGTGGAGAGATGGAGCGGCTGGGGTCTCTAGACTCAAGGAGGGAGAAGGGGCTGTGTGCTGGTGGCTGGGGGGCTGGCATGCAGGGTATGCCCTTTGGTTGTTGGATTAGGTATATATTCCTAAGTGCTTTGGTATACATTTAAAAAAAAAAAAAAAGAGGGAATGGAAGCAAATGCTGTTGAATGATGATGCATGGAGGGGATTGTAATCCTTGCAATGAAATGAAATATGATAGGATGAATGTAAAGCGAATGTTCTCCCATGTAAACTATCACTCAATTCACAATAAAAACTTACATATATATATAAAGAGTCAGTGGTCTTCAAAGGTTGTTTTTTAATGAAAGGATTTACATTTTATAAAGTTATTCCTATGAGAAAAAGCCAAGCGAACACTTTTTTGGGTATTCCTGTATTCATATCACATTTAATTTCTTCAGAGAATTGCCTGACCTGCACATTAGCTTCTAGTTCTTTTAGGACCAAGGTTTTGTCTTCATCTCTGAGCCTCTATCCGACACAGTGCCTACACCCAACAGGCACTCAGGGAATATGTGTTGAAAGAATGTTTGAGTGAATAGCCAGTTGATAAATGCATGCTAAAGAATTGGAATAGCTATCTTTTCTACCCTTCACCACTGGACGCAGTGTGTACAATTAATGCTTTGTATTTCTGTCTCAATGACAGGCAAAGGAAAACCCTTTAAAAACAAACCTGGAACTCATTACCAGATACTTTCTGGATCACTTCGGAAACCCTGCTAACAATTTCACTCAAGAAACACCAATCCCTGCACTCTCAGTTCCAAAGAAAAATAACAAATTGCCGTTGAGATGCTCAGAGACCACCCTCGTAAATATCTATGACCTTTCGGATGAAGATGCAGGATGGAGATCAGAAACAAGCAAAGTCAGGTATCTCGTCCCGTTTTCTCTGGGGTTTCGTTTTCTCTTGCTATTGTAACAAGTTACGACAGGAGAACCTACGGAAGCCAGAACCTGTAAGGAGCCAACCTGACAGAGAAAGAGAACTTAAGTATTTCCTTCTAAAAGGTGAGGTAGAAAGAATGGTAAGACGCACCTTGTCAAAGGCAGGAAACTCGCAAGGCTTAGAAAAACAAAGCTGTCCTGTTAAGTCCTTGCTCTCACAGGTTTCACTGTGTCAACTTAGTGACTTAAACTTATTACCCTACAGTTCTGGAAACTACAAGTCCAAAAGTAGTCTTACTCGGCTAAAGTCAAGGTGTTGGCAGGTTGGCTCCTTTGGAAAGCTCTGAGGGGAGAGACCTTGGCTCATGGCCCCTGGCTTGTATCATTTCCACCTTGTCTTAGTGGCTTAGGGCTGCTGTAACAGAAATACCACAAGTGGGTAGCTTTAAGGAACAGAAATTTATTCTCTCACAGATTAGGAGTCTGTAAGCCTGAATTAAGTGTGTGGTTCTAAGGGCAGGCCTTCCTTGTCTATTTCAGTTTCTAGTAGATGCCAACAGCCCTGTAGGTGCCTTTGTATCCATTGTCTGTCTTCCTCGCCTCCTTGTCTGTGTCTCTGTACCTTGCTTTTTGGAATTCAGAGGCGATTAGGTTAGAATTCATTCTACTTAGGTATGACCTGATTAATATAAAAGAGGAAACCTTATTTCTAAACAAGATATGTTTTTTAGGTATAGGGGCCAAGACATCAACACATACTTTGAGGGGCACACAATTCAGTCCATGACACTCCTCTGGCTTCTATTCTCCCATCTGCTACTAAATTTTACTCTTCTGTCTCCTTCGTGGTGTGGCGCTGTGGGTTAATGCACCAGACTGCAAAGCCATTGAACTGCAAGGTCGGCGATTCAAGCTCACCAGCCGCTCCTCAGAAACCCTATACAGGGTCCCTATGGGTTGGAACCGACTCGACAACACTTCACAATAACAACAACCACATTTCCTTCGTGGAGTGGCCCTGTGGGTTAACGCACTGGACTGCAAAGTCACATTGAACTGCACAGTCAGCGATTCAAGCTGCTCCTTGGAAACCATATAGAGGGTCACTATGAGTTGGAATCGACTCAATGGCACTCAACAACAACAACAATCTCCCTCTTATGAAGACCCCAGTGATTACATTAAGGAGTCATGCTGGCCCAGTGGGTTAAGCGTTGGGCTGCTAAACCACCACCTGCTCAATGGGCAAAAGATGAGACTGTGTGTTCCCTTAGAGATTTGTAGTCTCAGAAATGATGGCGCAGTTATAATCTGTCCCGTAGGGTTGCCATCAGTCTGAATCCACTGATGGCAATGGGTACTGATTACACAGGGTCTGCCTGATAATCTCCCCATCTCAAAATCCTTACCTTATTCACATTTGCAAAGTCCCTTTTACCACGTAAGGCAATATATTCACAGGTTCCAGGGATTTAAACGTGGACCCCTTAGGGACCATTATTCAGCCAACCACACTTAGTGCTTCAAATCTCTGTTGCATGGCACTACTGTTTCCTCCAGAGGCCATGGAAATGGACCACTTTGTGAAAGAGAATACTTGCAATTGAAAATGTTTCTTTTCAGTTCCATGATTCACAAGGTTCAGAGACTTGCGTTGTTTCCATCTTCTTAGAAACAGTTGTATAGCTCTCTTAAAGGCAACAAAACGTCAAAGATAGAAAAAAAAAATCTAAAAACTAATGTGGTTTGTTACCCTTAGGAGGAAAATGAGTTCACATTCTTGCTCAGACCTTCATTAGCTTGAGCTGAGTTAAATTGCGCTAAATTACAACATTAATGTGCCTCATTGCATGTAGTCACCAGCATTGGGTTCTACTTCCTGGGTGTTCTCTTCAGCTCCATTGGAAAGCGTTCCTTTCCTGTGGGTATCTGAGGCTTAGGGGCTGGGCGTCAAGCTATCAAAAGGAAGTGTACAAGGAAAATGATAAAATTCACAGAAGGCTTGAGATGTGAAAGGTAATGGGAATGATATAAAGAAGACGGCCAGTCCCTTGGAGGGGAAAAGTAAATTATCCTGAGGAAGTCCTGGAGTCCTGGTGTGGCATTGTGTGCTAATACACTGCACTGCAAGTTCAGTGTGAACTGCAGGGTCGGGAGTTCAAGTGCATCAGTTGTACCTTGGAAACCGTATCTAGGATGGCTATGAGTCAGAACCAACTTGACGCTACTTAACAAAAACAACAATGTCGGGCTGTGGAGTCCCGGTGTGGCACTGTAGGATAAACACTGGGCCAAAAGGTTAGTTTGAGCCTCAAGGTTGGTGGTTCAAACTCACCAGCCATTCCTCAGGAACCCTTTACAGAGTCACTATGAGTTGGAATCGACTCCGTGGTACTAAACAACAACAACAACAATGTGGGATAAGCACTGAACTGTTAATCATGATGTTAGCGGTTCAAACCCACCAGCTGCTCCTTGGAAACCCTATACAGGACCACTTTGAGTCTGAATTGACTCAACAGCATTTAACAACAGCAAACAATACAATAAAGGAGTCCCGGCATGGTGCTAGAGTATAAACACCTGTTAATTGCAGGGTTGGTGGTTCAAATCGACCAACCACTTGGAAACCCTATTCAGGGTCACTATGAGTCAGAATGGGATCATTGGCACTTAACAACAACAACAGCAACAACAGATACAATAAAAACAAGCAATGTATTATTAGCGGAGGCTCCTGAGTGCTACCTAATTATTGAAGGCAAAAGCTTGGGTGTTAACCTTGACTCTCCCTTCTCTGTAATCTTCTGTATCTTCACCACCTGTCTGTCTGTTGTATGTTAGGGGCTTGCTGGAAGCTGTGTCACTGGTGTTTCAAATGCCACAGGACCACCCATGGTGGACAGATTTCAGTGGCGCTTCCACACTAAGACCAGGCAGAAAGGCCTGGGGAATCTCTTTCTGAAAATGAGCCAATTAAAACCTTATGGATCACAACACCATACTGTCTGACATAGTGCTGGAAGAGACGTCCCTAGATTGTAAGGTGTTACACAGTAACTGCAGCAGTAGACTCAAATGAACCAAGAACCATGAAGACGGCACAGGACTGTGCAGTGTTTTGTTCTGATGTACATGTGGGCCCCATGACTTGGGGCTGAGTTGATGGCAGCTAACAACAACATGCGCTGTTAGCTTCTCCTCCTGACTGACACTAGACTCGCCCATTTCTCTGTCCCTATTTTAACGACCTCATCCTTTCTCACCTGGATAATTCCCACCTGCTCTTCATTGATCTTAATTGATATTGTTAGTTGCTGTGGAGTTGATTCCGACTCAGGGCAGCCCTAGGTGTGCAGAAAGCTCCATGTCTTTTGAGGGGCTTCTGGATGAGTTCTAACCCTGGACTCCTTTGTCTTTTGGCCTCTGATAATCTTCTCCTCAAATTCTAAGGCATACATACCCTCCTTTTAAGGAGCTCTGGTAGTGTAGTGGGTATGAAACTTCCAGCCATTCCTTGGGAGATAGGTGAGGCTTTCTGCTCCCGTAAAGATTTACAGCCTCGGGAATGCTATCCTGCATCGCTATAAGAGTCAGAACAGACCCCAAGGCACACCACCACCGCCACCTTCCTTCTAAGACTGTGTGAACTTTCCACAGAACAAATCCAGCCATTGCCACTCTCCTGCTGACAGGCCTTGAGATACTCCCCGTAGTATTAAATCTGAGTCCTTGGGAGCAACTTTTCCACCCTCCAGCCCCTTTTGCTCACCGGAACCATTATGCTTTTCCCTCTAGTATTTTTTAGAAAATTAAATATGCATGAGGGCTTCAAGAGTTTGTGGAAAAATGAACTGAAAAGATACTGGAATTTTTCCATGAAATTTTTGAAACCCCTCGGATATAACACAGAATTTGCTATTTAATCATTTAAAGTATACCATTCAGTGGTATTAGTTCTATTAGCCTTGTTGTGCAACCTTCACCATTATTTTCAAACGTTTTCGTCACCTCAAACAGAAACTTAATACCCATTAGACAATACCTCCCCATCTGTCTCTTTCCGTTAGTCCTTAGTGACCTCGAATCTGTTTTCTATGCATTTGCCTATTCTGGATAGTTTATGTAAGTGGAATCATACATGTACCTTTGTGCCTGGCTTATTTCACTGAACATGCTTCCAGGTTCCATACATCCATGGTTGAGTCATGTTCCATCATACAGGCAGGTCACATTTTGTTTAATCATCACCAGTCGATGAACACTTAGATGCCAGTTTCTAGCTTGGCGAGGCTGTGGAGCTGTCATGCTTTGCTAGTGGGACTGATTAATGATGCAGCCATTGTGCAAAGCACCATGGCGGATCCTCAGTCAGTTCAACAGGATCACATATGACCCAGCAAGTTCTCTCCTAAGTACATACCCAAGAGAGCTGAAAGCAGGGACTCAAACAGATACATGTATCTGAACGCACATGTCTTGCCTCTGTGATAGTGCCTGGGACCTTCTCCTGGCTGACTCCTACCTACCTGCTTTTTCTAGACTCAGCAGAAGACTCCCCAGCTGTCTCCTGTGGCTCCTTCTCACCATGCCCATTTATACCAGACTGAGTCTGTTGTTATTAAGTGCTGGTTCAGACTCATAGCAACCCTGTATAAGGTTTCCAAGGAGTGGCTAGTGAGTTTGAATGGCTGACCTTATGGCTCAACCAATCTTGAGGTCAAGTGAGTATCCTACAGTACCACCCCAGGACTCCAGAGTGAGTCTGGTGGTAGAAAATAGCCCGACCCATGTCAAGAGAGCTGGGCTCTGAGGGATCACAGTCAAGATTCGTTCCTTTTGATGGTTTCCTTGTTTTGACTCATTGACCTTCCCTCCCCTCTTTTTTTTTTTTAATGTTTTATTGTGAATTATGTGACAGTTTACATGGGAGAACATTAGCTTTACATTCATCCTATCGTATATCATTTCATTTCCATGGTTACAATCCCCTCCATGCATTATCAAACAACCCCGCAAGCCTAGCCCCGAGTGGTCAGCACACAGCCCCTCTCCCTCTCTGGGTCTAAAGTTCCCAGCTGCTCCATCTCTTCACGTCATAGTCTCTGCCTCTATCTCTCGTGTTACTGTTTCTCTGGGTAGGGTCTGCTCTTCTCCCTTGATGGTCCCAGGGATCTCCGCTCCTGGACTGCAAAGTCCACCACTCCCCTCCATTTGCTACAAAACGTCTACCTTTACATTTCCAACCCTCACAGTCAGTCCTGATAACAATTATTCACTGTTGTATCACAAGCGACCTATCCGCATCTCCTTTCATCAGCCCCGCCCAGATTGAATACTACTCAGTGGAGATTCTACATTCCTCCATGCCCTCTGGATCCCTCCCCTCTTATTTGCTCTCTTTCTCTCTCTCTTTCTTTCTCACACATACTTTTTGACTCTCTTTCAACCAAGCAACTCAAGAAAAGTATCACATGGCATGCTTGGCTCCAACCTTAACTGCATAGCCAGGGACCACCGAGTCTGCTGCCATTCTTTATACTCCATTACTGGAGCCATGCCACCAAGATTTTAAATCACAGCAGGGTCACCATGGTGGACAGATTTTAGCAGCACTTCCAGACTAAGAAGGCAGGTCTGGGGATCTTCAGAAACTTAACCCACGGAAACCTTATGGCTCCCAATAGAACATTGTCCGGCTCTCTTGATTTGGAGATGTCACTAGGAAGGATCAATGGCTAGAAGAGAACAATTCATTGCTAATGGAGGACATCATGGTTGGTGAAGCAGAGGGCCAGTGAGGGCGAGGAAGGCCCTTGGAAAGATGGACTGGCAACATAGCAACAACAGCGATCTTGAACATGTGGGTGATTATAGGGTTGACACAGGACTGGGTAACATTGAGTTAGAGTTGATTCCAGGTGGCCGACTGACCAACTGGCCTACCTACCTATCTATCCGTTCATCCATCCATCCATACATACATACAATCATACCTCTTAGTGTTGAGAGGATACAGCCTTCCTTGATAACTTGAGTCTAGAAGCCAAGAGTTGGTCCTTATTTTGAGGACTTGAGGGTAATCAGGACTAATCAGGGAGGACTTCATTTACCAGTTCACCAGTTTTATTTTGTAGATTGAAGTTGCTTGGATACCACAGCATTTTCCACGTCTGACCCTTCGTGACAGACTGCTAGTTAGAAACCATCATATCTTGTAGTGATGATAGGCTGACTATGAATGCCTGTTCAATGTTGAATTTATTATCATGGTTACTGATTCCTTTCAGTGAGTGGAAAGATTTGCCTCCCCCTCCCATTTTTTTTTTTCTTTCTTTCTTTTTGCAGACATGACAATCTTGATGGGGATGTACTTGGCAATTTTGTATCTTCCAAAAGGCCCCCACACAAAAGTAAGCCGGTGCAGACGATCCCAGGTGAAAACCCTGCCTTGATTCCTGCTTGGGAGAAGATGGAAAATCTTAAATCACTGGAGTCTTCTGTGGACGTGAAGAAGATGGGAGAGAAGAGCAGGATGAAGTCTGGCCTAATTGTCCGAGGCATGATGACTGGGCCCATGGCCAGTTCCCCGCAGGTGGGGCTGTTGTTCTTACTGCTGATATGGGAGAGGAGAGTGAGAGCTGGGGATGCAGGGAGCCACTGTGGGGTTGTTTTGGGGTGCCACACAAGGCAGCCTAAGAAGGAAGATCTGTGTAGCATGATGGGAAAATGTTCTCATTTTGGCTCTGCCATAAACACCCTTTGGGACCTGGGCAGTCCTCATCTCCTTCCCTGTCCTCAGTTTACCTGTCCTGTCAGCCAAGTTCAGTGGACTGAAGACCCCCTAAGGGCCCTTCAATCTCTGATATGCTCTGGTTTTATATTACGTTGCCACACGAGAACACATCTACCCAGGTTTGTCTTTGCAATTCAGGAATGGTAGACACCTATTCAAGTCTAGAAAAAAAAAATCTGTTTTAGTTTTCAATGCATGGAATTTAAAAGGCAAAAGAAACCACAAGCCTTCTCATTTCATCTGTTTTGCTCTTATTTTTTCTCTTTCAGGAAAAGTATTATATAAAAATCTGACATCATTGTTTTATAGTCTCGCTGAGGGAGACACCTTGGTAGGGTTCCACTAGGCAGGGAAATTGAACCAAATGTGAGGACAAGGACAAAGGAGTTTGCAAAGCAACAGATGAACAGAAAAACAAAGTGAAAACACAAGTTAAACTCAAAGTTTCTATCAGTTAAATCAGGGAGCCTGAGCAAATCGAATATAGGTCATCTGTGTCCCTGGCTGACGATAGCCACCCTCACTTAAGTTTAGATTGGACTCAGTGTAGAAGCCTGCACTCTGAGTTCCTTTGGAACTAGGATAGGAATAAGTGGCTCCCTCTCCTGTCCTCTGCTTTGATCTTGTGAGATCTTTGGTCAAGCTTTTTCTATTTCTCTGGGCCATGGTGTCTTTTGACAGATCAGTTATCCCAGCTATCCCAGAAATCTCTGCCTCTGAGATTTTGTGGCTCTGAGATGGCCACTGGTCAGATCCTGGGAAATACATGTCTACTTCTCTCTGGGTGGTTCAGACCACACCTTGATGTCATGTCCCGCATATTCATGAACTGGGCCATGTCCAGAGGAAAGGGACTAGGAAGGTGAAGAATTTGGAGGAAATTGGATGGGTTGTTTAATCTTAAGAAGAGAAGCCTTGTGAGAGGTGTGGCAGAGTGTAAGAGATTTCTTAGCTTAACTATGGAGGCAGAAGTAGGCTAATTCTATGATAGGAATTATGTGGCTTTCAGATCATCACTCCCTAATGCCGTGCCTGTGGCAGACATTGCTAGCTGATCTCAGTGTTCTTTCCCCCAGCCAGCCTGGGTATGACTTCAGGACCTCATGGGCACCTCCAGCAGTTGCTACCAGTAGACAGAATGGAGTAGCTTGTGAGACGAACTCTATTAACCACCTTGAGCTTAGACTAGAATCTTCTCTCAAGACCAGGGGCTCCACCATGTCTGTGTCTTGTGCCTGGTGTGTTTTAGGTTGTTGAATGGCATACTCATGCCTGGTGTCTCCAGAAAGCACAGCTAGGACTCATGGGTGAGATTGGTGTGAGGAACGCTCAATTAGTGGAGTAGGCTGTTTTAGAAGGGACTGCTGCTACTGCTGCTCTGCTTGGGCTCTGACTCATAGTGAGCATGTACAGGGTTTCCGATGCTGTAAATCTTTACGGGAGCAGAAAGTCTCATCTTTCTCCTCCTTAGCGGCTGGTGGATCCGAACTGCTGATCTTGAGGTTAGCAGCCCAACGCTTGACCCACTGTGCTACAAGGGCTCCTTCTTAGAAGGGACTGTTGTTGTTGTTGTTGTTCAAGTACTGTCAAGTCAGTTCTGACCCATAGATACCCTGTATAGGGTTTCCACGGAGCAGCTGGTGAGCTTGAGCCACCAACCTTGCAGTTCAAATGACTTTGCAGTCTGGCGCATTAGCCCACAGCGCCACACCAGGACTCCTAGAAGGGACTGTTGTTGTTGTTAAGTGCCATTGACTCGGTTCCGACCCACAGAGACCCTGCATAGGGTTTCCAAGGAGTGACTGGTGTGCTTGAACCGCCGACCTTGCAGTTCAAATGGCTTTGCAGTCTGGCGCATTAACCCACAACGCCACACCAGGACTCCTAGAGTGGTGCAAATGGTTAACACTTTTGGCTGTTAACACTTTTGGTTGACGAGCTGAGTGTACTCAGAGGTACCTAAGAAAAAAAGCCTGTTGATCTACCACAAAAAACCTAGCCCTTGAAAAGCCCTATGAAACACAGTTCTACTCGAACACACACCAGGGTCAACAGGAGGTGGAACTGACTTGTTGGCAACGTATTTTTTTCTGTAGATTTCACTAGTAGTTATGCTAGGAACTCCACCTGCTGGGGCTTTGTAAAAGGGGCTCCTGTCTGGTTGAGAGTTTAGTCTATATCAGTGGTTCTCAAACTTCTGGTTTTAGGATTCTTTTATACTCTTAGAGGAATACTAGTGGTTGCAATGATTAAGTGCTTAGCTGCAAACTGAAAGGTCAGAAATTCAAACTCATCTGTTGCTCTTTGGGATGAGGCAGTCAGCTTTCATGAAGATTTAGAGCCTCAGAAACCCTATGCAGAAGTTCTGTCCTGTCCCATAGGGTTGCTATGAGTGGGAATCGACTTAACAGCAATGGTTGACACGCTCAAGTCCAAGAGATTGTGTGGGTTCTATCTGCTGATATTTATTATTTTGTTGTTGCTGTTGTTAAGTGCTGTTGAGTTGGGTCCGACTCATAGCGACCCTGTATAGGGTTTCCAAGGAGCGGCTGGTGAGTTTGAACTGCTGAGCTGGCAGTTCAAACTGACATGGCAGTCCAGTGCATTAACCCACAGCACCATACCAGGAGTCCATTTATTATATTAGAAACTAAAATTCAAAAATAGTAATAATAAACCCATTACACTGAACACAAACACCATTTTTTAATGAAAAAATAAGCATATATTTCAAGAAAAAAACATTAGATGAATGGCATTATTTTACATATTCTGCAAATCTTTTTAGTGTCTGGCTTAGTAAAAGACAACTCAAGTTTTACATCTGCTTCTGCATTCAATATGTCCTGATATTTATTACTTTAGTTGAAATATGTAAAGGAAAGAAATCTAGCTTCATAAAGATGCACAGTTACAGAAGAGAGGAACATTTTAATAGAATTTGCAGATAATTAGGGATATTCCTTGTTATTACACCAAAACTCAACAAGTGGTGGGTTCTTTATACGGAATCTGAAATCACATCCTTGAACTTTTTGTAGTTTATCAAATTCTATTGATCTGTCTTGAATCCTTTATTCCTGTGTGATTTTGTAACATGATGCACTGGTCATTTGGAAAATACAGGTTTGCTGAGTTATGCAGTTCTTCCAAATGTTGACACATTTCACTATACAATATCCAGATATCACATTTGTTGGTAGCACTACCCAACTCATCAGAAACATTCTGAAGTACTGGAAAGAACTACAAAGTGACACTGGCAGGTATAAGTTACCTAAAACTCCATCTTTCACTTTAAAGCTGGAATTTCATTGTTGACAATAAAGATGGCATTTGCTTGCCTTGAAGTAATGGGCTCAATATAGTTTCAAGAAAATGCCTGCGGAACATCCAGATATGAGTAGTTTGTGTCTCAGTTGTTCTTAGAAGCAAAAGGTGGGTTCCCTGAAAAACCACAGCTCATATCTCAGCATCGCACAAATGCTTTGCTTTGGGACAGCCTTTATGCTTCTGTACCGAGCAGAGTGGAATCCTGGTATGGCGCTGTGGGTTAATGTGCTGGATTGCAAGGTCGGTTTGAGCCTCAAGGCCGACAGTTCAAGCTCACCAGCTGCTCCTTGGAAACCCGATGACAGGGTTGCTATGGGTCAGAACCGACTCATGATTGGTCACATAAGATATTAAAAAGATATATGTGGTTAGGTTGACATTTTAAAAATTAGTAGCTTTCACTGTTTCAGCAAGGGTAGTAAATGAAATGAGCACTTCACTTTTTTTATCACTACTACATGGTGGTGAAGAATACATTAAATACTGGTAAAGTTTGATGGTGTTGCCTGATTTGTGCTGAGGGTCAGCAGTGGGTCCTACCATAGCATTGCAGATGTCAACACAGTGAAAAAGACAAACCATGCCATATTATGGGAGTAATTTTGAGCCTTCTTTGAACCACAAGGTTGGTGGTTCAAACTCACCAGCTGCTCCTTGGAAACCTTGTACAAGGAGGGTCTCTATGAGTCGGAATCAACTCGACGGCTCTTAACAACAACAAAAGGGTTTTGGGACACCCACGGGACAGTGGACCACACTCTGAGAATCTCTGGACCAGATGGGTCTGCTTCTACTGCGCAATTGTAATCATTAAGTGCGTGTAATGGACCTTTTCATGAGGGGATGACTCATATCTACTTTTCTGCCGAGGACGTTGTGGTAGACATCTAGTAGTAGATTTGGGAGGTGTGGTTTTCCACACACTTTCTGAAGAATATCGAAGGATGGGCTGTGTAGAATCGCCCAAGGTTTTTTGGAAGGTGAATTTTGGGCCTTTGTATTATTGGCTACTCAAGAAAAAAAGCGCCAAGGGTCATTAGCTATTTCTTCATTTTTAAAAATAACTAGATTAGTTCTGTGCTTGCTAAAGGGTGAGACAAGAGGCTGGGCTCCCTGCAGCAGCTCTGGTTCCCCTTGGCCAGAAATCTGTGTCTGCCTGGGCTTGGGCATGGTGACTAATCGCTCCCTTCCTCTATAGCAGACATATGCTGGGTGGCTTTTCCTGGAGGTTTTTGAGCTGAGTAATTTCCAATAGTCCAGAAAACTACAGAATTAGCTTTCCATATTCCAGCCCAGTCTTTACCAATTGGCCCTGGATTATTTCTGGAAATGCTGAGATGTTCGGAATTTTTCAACCAAGTCTGAGCCCCGCAGGTCTGTTTTTGTTTTCTCACCGCTGATTGCTAAGAGTGTGAGCTTGCTTCCATCTCATCAGTTCATAACATTGATATGAACTGATACGAGAAGAAATGTCAGTTACCACCTTTGAAATGCCTTCATTTTAAAAAAATGTGAAAATGCAAATCTTACCAGGCATAGAGCCAGAGACACCAGAGATAAGAGAGGCAGGGCCGCTGCCATTCCTGGGCTCCGGCTGGAGGTTCAGGACATGTGGAGGTGGGGAGAGGGACACAGAGCAGAGCAGTAGCTACTGTTTGCTGAGAGCTGAATGTGCCTCACATGCATTCTCTCACTGCATTCTTGTTGAGGACAGATAGGTGCTGTCTTAGTTTGCTAGTGCTTGTAACAAAAATAGCATAGGTATTAAAGAACAGAAATGAATTTTCTCAAAATTCAGGAGACCAGAAGTCCAAGTGCAAAGCATCGACTCTAACAGGAGGTCCTTCCCTGCCTCCTGCTTCTTCTAGTAGCTTCATCCTTGGTGCTCCTGGGCTGCTTCCCTCTTCACATGGCACCAGATCACCCTCTGTGTGTGTCTCTCTTCAAGTCTGTTTTCCCTTAATAGGACTCCTGAGACATCTCAGGAGTTCTGGTGTAGCACTGTAGGGTAAGCACTGGACTGTGAGGTCGATTTGAACTTCAAGGTGTTGGTTCAAACCCACCAGCCGCTCCTCAGACTCATATACAGAGTCACTATGAGTCAGAGTCCTAGTGTGGCGCTGTGGGTTAATGAGCCGGACTGTAAAGCCGTTTGAACTGCAGGGTAGGCAGTTCAAGATCACCAGCTGCTCCTTGGAGACCCTATGCAGGGTCGCTATGGTTTGGAACTGACTTAGCAGCACTTAATAATTTAAGGAGACATCACATAGAAGGGATTAGGTTTGGGACCCACCCTATTTCCCTATGACCTCATTAACATAACAAAAGAAAACTACTTCCAAACAGGGCTACCAGTCACAGGTACAAGTGTTAGGGCTTCACAGCTTTCTAGGGAACAGAGTTCACTCCATAACAGGTACTTCAGGTTCATAATCCCTTACCCAAAACTTTTGGGTCAGATGCATTTTGAATTTAGATGTTATTTATTTATTTATTTTTCTGGCTGTAGAATTTATTTTAATCAACTTTTACAAAAGACAAATACATCATTTTTCAACATAATCTCTGCTTTTCAATACACTTTTTCCATCTGTCAATAAGTTCTCATATTCCCTTAATTTACAATGTTTTAGGCTGAGTTGAGAGCCACGAGTACACCACTGGCTTCACTTCTTCCTCAGAGGTGACTCTTGGTCCTTGAAAGGATGCCCTCAGGGGACCACACAGGTGAAACTCTAATGGAACAAGATCAAGACTATATGGAGGATACTTTAACACCTCAAAATGAAATTTTTGCAGAGTGTCATCAGTGTGGGCAGAGGTGTGGGGACGTGCATTGCCATGCAAGATTAGCAAAGCCCTTGGATAGTGTTGCTTCAGCTTGTTAGTGAGCATCTCACTGTAAGAGCTTTCTTGCTTGTTGAACTTTTTCCTGGTAGTGTTCTACTACTAGCCCTTGGGAATCCCAGAAAAAGGTAAGCACCAATTTTCCAGCTGATGGCTGGTTGACTTTGGAGCTTTTTCTTGGTCTGTGATTGAGGATGTTTCCATTGCATACTCAGCCATTTACCCTCAGGCTTGCAATGATGAATCCATGTCTAGTCATCAGTAACAATTTTTTAAGTTTTTATTGTGAAATATGTGATAGTTTACTTGGGAGAACACCAGCTTTGCATTCTTCCTTTCTTATTTTGTTTCAATGCAATGATTACAATCACCTCTATGCATCATTAAACAACCCCACAAGCCTACCCCTGGCTGTCAGCACACGCCCCCCCTCCTTCCCGGAGTCCAGAGTCCCCAGCTGCTCCATCTCTCCATGTCGTTGTCTCTGCCTCCATTTCTAGCGTTGCTGCTTTCTGGATAGGGTCTCACTCGATGGTCTCAGTGTCCTCTGCTCCTGGACTGCAAAATCAATCACTCCCCTCCTTTTGTTACAAAACATCTACCTTTACATTTCCAACCCTCACAGTCAATCCTGATAGCAATTATTTGCTATTGTACCGCAATATTCTTATCCCCATCTCCTTTCATCAGCCCTGTTCCAACAG